ATTTCCTTGAAGTCTGTGAAGCGCTTTGGGGCCTGTCTGGATGAAAGGCTTTATCTGTAAGTCGCTTTCCTTGGCTTTGTTGTGAGTCCAGGCAGGTATCTCATCACACGAGGGTTAGCATTTGTCCCATATTTCTCCCTCCCCACCAGGCAAAGGCTTACCAACTTCTTGTCCATTTTCCATGGTGCCTCAGGCTTCACTAGCATGAGATCTTGTGTTTCTTGAAAGCATCACCAGTGTTGAATGGACTTGAGCCAGCTCCATGAGCACATCGTCTTGTTGGGATGTTTCTTCATGCTCAAAATCTGGGTCACGTCACAGTAAGGAAATGTGCTGATGAAACATGACTGGCATTATTTGTTTAAAAGGAAACGGAAGAAATACTTGGGTTTGGCTCCTCTTTCTGTGGATCCGTCTGCTGTGCTCCAGCTTGTGTGTCCTGAAATCCCTGGGAGAAGTGAGCAGAGTTTCTCAGCAGTGAGGTCCGCATTATCTGAGCTGGTTGATGGTGAGATGCTGAACCTGCCACTGGTACCTCACAGATTCAAAGCCAGACATCAGTTGTCACTGATGCTGTTAGATTTGGGGATGGTTCCCAGCTTTGTGTGTGTTGGGCACGTATCCATCTCTGTCTACAGCATACGCAGCACGTGTTGACACTCACTCAAAATCTCGAAAAAAGAACAAGTTTTACTGCCTTCTTGGCTTTGTGTAAGAAATGTTTCAAGAAATGCTGTGGAAGGAATGCAGGAAGAGCATTGTGGTGGTTAATGGGATGTATTCCACAGCATTTTTCAGCATGCTTTGTTTTGCAGTGTGAATTTTTCACCCTCGCTGGTCATCAGCCCCGTGATGGCCAAAGCTGATGTATGGGCACAGGGAGCCTTATGGCGTGTAGTTCCATCCCTTGGGAAGGAGGTGTGCTATGGTGGCAGGAAAACATACTCCCTCAACACAGGCCATGTCCACAAGGGGAGGTTATTGTCCTCTGTAGCAGCAGAAGCTCTCTTGCTGAGGGTCCCAGCAGAGCTGATGTGATAGCATTGTAGAATCAGCCAGGTTGGAAAAGACCTTTCCCCCAGCCCTGCCGAGGCCACCACTGCCCCATGGCACTGAGGCCTCATCTCCACGCTGTGTGAACACTTGCAGGGATGGTGACTGCAGCCCTGCCCTGGGCAGCCTGTTCCAATGCCTGAGCACCCTCTGGGGCAGGAATTGTTCCTCAGCTCCATCTAAACCTGCCCTGGGGCAGCCTGAGGCCGTTTCCTCTTGTCCTACACGTTCCATCCTTTCCTCTTCCATTTATCTCTCACCCCCCAGGAGAAGCTCAGAGTCCATCTCAGCCCCATGGAGCCTGGCTGGGTGAGTGCCCAAGCTCTCTCCAGCTCTGCATATCCCTTTTGGTGGTGCTGGGGAGCTTGGGACCTTCTCCAAGGTCCATGGAGGGTTTGTAGCCTCTGGTCTGCCTGGGAGAGGCCTGGGCATTGCAGTGTGAGAGAAACGGATGAGAAAAACAAATGCACCCTTTCCATCCAATGTTCCGATGTATCAGGAAGTCTTAAACCCTGTAATTAGATGGGCCTCACCTCATTTTCCTTTAGCGGTTTGGGGAAAAGCAGGTAAAGCAGTAGTACTGCGTGTGGTGGGGTAGCTCCCCAGGTGAAAAGCTCATGGAGGCATGCTCTTAGAGAAGTGAGTCATTCACAGGAATGTCTCTCCTGTAGGTACACCCTACCCATGCCATGCAGTAAGAGCAGTACTTACAGGGTGGTGTGCCTGACAGCTTGGGGTGTGGGGATGCAGGAAAATGGGGATTTACTGCAGCTGTAGCTCCTCTGCTGCTGCTTTTTAACAGCTCCTTCATTCCTTATTTTCGTGTCTCACACGTTGTTCAGTGAGAATTCCATTTAGTCCTTCTTTGCTGTGTATTTCTCTTTTGAAGAATGAGGGTTCTCTTTCCCCCCACTTTCTGGGTTTACTGGAACTGTAGAAGGAATTCAGGAAGGAAGGGGGTTTGAGAGCTTAACACATATAGAACAGAAACATCAGCTGGGTCTTTAAATGGTCAGCGTATTTGCTGCTCGTGTATTTAGTTGGCTTCAGGTTCATGATGTTGTGATAATAGTTCAGTAGCAACTTTTCTCAATGAGGAGGAACTAGAGGGCTTCACAGAGGGAGGATTTTGAGCCGCAAGCTCCCGAAAGAGAATCCGTCGACAGAGAACTAAAGAGAAGTCATTTGGGGTGGTTTGCTGCGATCCCCCCATGCACTGACTGTTGGGCTGTTGTCCCAGCGCGGGACCCAAGCACAGCCCCGTTGGGTGGCTGTGGCAGTCTGTGGTCACACAGCCCTTCAGGGGCTCACACTGGTGGTGTGAGCAGGGAGACCCAGACTGAGTGAACCCAGGGAAGGAAATCACCTGCGTGTTTAGACTTGAGTGCTTTGACTGAGTATGTGAAGTGTCTTAGTCTGCATTGTGCTGCTTTCAGGAAAGAAACACGGCTGTAAGTCAAAACCCATCCATGCCAAAGGTCTCAGGCTTCAGGAAAGCAAACTTCTGTCGCTGACAGGATTGTAGGGAACTGTTGCTAAGTCCATTAGAGATATTTATAACCCCAGGCTTGATATCCAGGGTGCGAAATGAGCCAAAGAACTCTGGCAGCAGTGTACAGATGAGTTGAATGGTTCCTTGCTGGATAAATACATACTTGCCGTTGACAGACATTATATTGGTTCATCTTGTGCCTGCCTGATAGTTCCTTCAGTTCTAGAAGAATTGGGCAACTTGCAGTATAGCAAATGAAGCAATAGTTTCATTCTCACACTGGAATCTCACTGGTGTCAGTTGTCTTTCAGTGTCTTACATATTCCTCTTGCGTTTTAAGCCTGCTGTTTCACACAGTCACGTTGCAGGGTGTTTTCCAGGTTTTCAAAATGTGTAAGTAACATTTTAATGCGTGTGCTTTACTTCTTTGAAAATAGGAAATCCCACTGCGGTTTAGTGTCATTTCCTTAACTCCTGATTCCCCATGGGAAGCAGTTGTTCATCCTCTCTCAAAAACTTGGAGTAATTCAGTGCAGCTCTCTTCTCACCTCACAGAGGTTTATAAACCAGATAAATAAGAATCTCACTTGTGTCCACGTTTATATTCAACATCTATTTCAGGGATGAGCAATCTCTCTGACTGCTGCCCTTGTGTGTAACACCCGCTTTGCAGATTGCTCCCAGCACAGAGGGCTGACTGTAGTTTGTGCAGTTGGAGTGGCTTGAGACCACAGGTGATTAATTAAAACTTCACCTGGCAGCGCTTTGTGAGACAGCAAAGTGGAGATGCACGTTCTGATAACGGGCAGGGTTGGTTCACGTCTTGCTATAGGAGCGTTTCTCTTTATTTTCCGGGTGCAAGGAGCAGGGACAGGAAATTGGATGAAAATCTCTGGGATTATTTTCATTATTTTTCTGCATCACTTTCCTCCATGGACAGTGGATCCTTTTAAACAAAGTGCAAATATTAATAATGAAAAGATGCTCTCATGGACCTCAGAGTTTTAATGGTTCTGTTACTAGAGGACACAAGTTTGTGAGAACCAGTTTTTATCAATGTAGACTATGGTTTTCTGTTGCCTTTCCAAGAACCTCACATACGAGTCCACTTCCACTGTAGCTTTGTCATTTAGGAATCTTGACGTTCCCTGAAAACAGTTGTATGATCTGCTGGTGGAAAGTGCTGCACATGTGCCTCTGAAAACTGAAATCCCATGCTTGCTGGCAGTTAAATATTGTATGTAACTGCAGTACTTCACTCTTGACAATACCACTTGAGCACTTTTTCTGCTAAGCCTTCCAGCAGTGGTGTCAGTAGTTATTGTATTCCTCATTAGCTGTGAACAGCATTTGAAAGCTGTTATCCCAGTGTGTCTGAATCATTCCAGTGCCACCATTGCCTTTTCCTGAACAGAAGAGCTGTTGTGACATTGCTTGTATTTTAAATGTTACAGACTATTTATTCTGTCTCTTCAGCAGGAAGATGCCTGCTAAATGAACTTCAGAAAAGCAAATACCCATTCCCATCAGGATAAGCATATGCTTCCCTTTAAAAAAAATGCTTTTTGCCATGAGTTCGGCTGGGAAATGCCTGTTAGTTGCTTACCAGTGTTTCTGTGCAGTACAGCTCGCAGGGATTTCTTACTGCTGCTTTTTTTCTGCTCCTGATCCTGTCTGTGCATAATTTTAAGCACAGGAGTAGCCCCCATTCAAATTGACCTGAGCGTGAGCTTCGTCAGCTGGAGAGGTGTCCCTTGGTCCAGAAGAGCAGTTATATTTGGCTGTACCAGCAGCCCAGGTAAAGGTTAGAGATAAATGGGACACATTCCCTGGAATGGTCCTTTACTCAGCTTTAATAAATATCACCCTTGCACAAGTTTTGCTGTGGTTGGATCTTATCCCCAGATAGAGTTGTATTGAAGATCAGTCGTGGGTTCTGTTGCTGGGCTGCTGTACCCTCACCAAGCTGAATGCACGGTCTTATTTCATTTCTTCTTCTGTGAACACTTGACATGAATATAGATCTATGCCTCAGCCCAAATTTGGTGTGGAGACTTAAAATGAAGTATTATGAGGAGCACAGGGCTGGAAAGGGCTGCCTAGGTCATTTGGTCTAGTCACTTGATGCTGAAGACACCAGCTACCACATAATGCTCATCTTAAAAGCAGGCAGAATTTTTGTTCCTGCTACTTGGGTTGGAGGGTTATGCAAAAACCTCATTGGTCTAATGGTTAGATGTATCCCCAGCCAGATTATACTCATTTGTTCTTCTGCCAGTGTTATGCTTTAACTTAAATAGCTCTTCTGTTTGATTTAAATTAAGCCATCTACATGATGTAAAAGCTTAGTGCATCAGAACACTGTCAGTGTTATATAATGTTTTGAATTCATGATCTGGAGCTCAGTTCTTTTCTTCAATGACTAAAGTATTCCTGGTGTTTTTTCCTTTTATAGCTTTACATGTGGTACACAGGAAAATGAGGCTGAGAACGCGGAAAGCTTCTCAGCAGTCGAATCAGATCCACACACCACGTGCTTTGAGGGCAAAGAGGAAACACTCGGAGGTGGAGGAGAGCTTACCTGTCAGTGGAGGCAGGCCCGCCAAGAATGACACCGGCCTGCTGTCGTCCATCAAAAAGTTCATCAAAGGAAGCACACCCAAGGTATGCACCAGTGGGCTGCTGCTTTTGCTGTTTCACTGGGGCACGTTCAGTGAGATTTGATTTAAAACGTTGCTATAAGAAATGGTTCTTAATGTGATGGAAGCAAAAGATCCTTGTCAAGAGTTAGAAGACAGCAAGCCCCTGTGGTGGTTGTAGCAGGTATTAAACGAACCAAAGCAGACCTGCAAAGCCTGCAGGAGTCAGTGGTAGGTGTGTTTAAGGCAGCTCAGGAAGGCCCAGGGTTTGCCACCAAGGTATTGCTTTGTGAAAATGTTCACTGATAAATTCAGTAGCTAAAATTTTAAGTTCTGTTTGAAGCATTCCCGAAACTTGGGAATTGCCAGAATTGTTAACTCAGAAAAGCAGTTCTGTAAGCATGAAGTTGCTCAGTATTTTAGCCATTCGATTCACAGTTGTTTAGGAGTTCCTCAGTCAATAAAGGTTAAACCTCACAAGTTCAACTATCCTGACATTGCTGTGACTACTGTGTATTACTGCAGTGAATGCTGCCCCTCAGTGGGTCAAACGAACGCTGTCAGGGCTAAATCACTACATCCCAGCTGTCTTCAGCCAGAAACCCCAACCTTACCCATTTCCACCTGTTAGAGCCTGTTGCATGTATGTTTTGAGGGTGAAAATTTTACACACACACATATATATGTAACTTTGATGGGCTGAATGTAACCTTGCAATTGCTTCCGAAACCTTCAAGAAACTGTTTTTCTTGTGTGTGAAGGGAGGCCCCGTGAAAGAGGAAGTTTAATTTGGTGGCAGCAGCCCAACCATTGCCATTATGTAGCTGTAAATTGTAAAGAAGAGTAGCCACGAAGTCAGAAGTGAATTAAAATGTATCCCAAAGTAACTAGATGAGACCTAAAAATCGACAGTCTGAAGTATTTTCTGGGGTTTGATCCAAGTGTTGAAACTGTAACTTTGTAACAAGCTGAAGTAGAAATAACTTTCAACTAAAATAACAGTGTCTTCTTAAATTGTAAAACTAGAGTGAAAGTTCATGTTTAGTGGCGTGTGTTAACTACCATAGAAACACTGAGGTACCCACAAAGGAGCACTGCAGTGAGGAGAAAGGGTTAAATCACATCTTGGTTTTCATTACGGCACGACAATTAATCTCTTCTGCATTCACCATCGATAATGTAGCTCAGCAGTGCAACAGTTTGGCTGCAAAACCACTGCAACAAATGCTGAAATCTAAGCAAAACATTTTAGGCTGGAATTTTAAGATAAGGGAAGTATGTCTGCTTTTCCTTCCCTTTGTCTCTGGGAGGCTGGGCTCGCTTTCCCTCTCCCCCGCTTCTCTTCCTCTCCCAAAGCTCTGGATTACATTTCGTTCTTTATTTCCTTGACAGGGTTTTTAATATAAAGTGTCCACGTTTTCCTCTGTTTCCTTTCATGTCCTCTCCTAGCAGGACTTGGAGTGGTTCCAGTGGCATTAGCATGGCACGATATTGATAGTGCCGGGCTATCTTCCAGAGTGCTGATGACTTAACCAAGTAGTCTGGAGGCTGCCATGGAAACGTTATAACTCTTTGCGATAGTGCACGGGTATGACTTGTGGAGCAGCTCCTTTCTGGGTGTGCACTGAGGGCATGTGGATTTACGGCAGTAACTGTCTTTGGAACAAGTATATCTCGGTTGTGATCGTAGTCGCAGGTCGTTCGTTGTCTGGTGTGGTAAAGATGTGTTGTTGGAAATACTCCTCAAACAAACAGACCCTGAAAAAGCCTCAAGATATTTAAGTTGGAGAAACCAGAGACTAACATACGGCTCTGAGTGTGGATGGTGACAGGTCTGGTCTCGAGGTCCTTTACTAACACACAGCCCACTGGCGAGTCAGCAACAGCATGGAGAGCACAACAGTGTTTGTCATTTCCAAAGTGTCAGATCTGATACACCAGAAAAACCAATACATGGATGCCTGTGGGGAGTGCTGTGAACGTTCCTAAATGTCAACTTTGGAGACGTTGTAGAGGTTCCTCTTAACTTGCCTGATTTGGGGCTCTAGCACTAGCACTGTCAGACAGTGCACTGACCTCGAGCATGTCATACTTGAGACTCAGTGTAGCCCATTCCCTGATACACACGGGATTTGTGAACCAACCTAACAACAGGCAACATGTTTGTGTTGGTGTGACATCACCGTGTTTCTTATGGCACGGTTATTGATCATAATGGGTTATACTGAGTTGAATAGATCATAGAATTCAAATAGATAGTTATATAAATACATAAAATAGGTACATTTAATCCTATATCTGTCCAATTAAATTTTCAGTGTATAAAGCAAGTAGCACAATAACATCATTCTGATCTCACCATTGAATTCTATTGACCAGTACAACACAGACACAGCAGTGGGAGCTCTCTGACCACACTGTGACATCTCCTCTTCGGGAGCATGAGAGGGGCCTCCCGAGTCAGTGAGTTCTTCCTGCCTCTGCTGGTACCTGTTGCCAGTGTGATTACTGGAGTGCTTCTGCACTTGTTTTCCATAAAGCAGACCAAGAGCACAGCTCATTTTATGAAGGCCAGTTGATGGCTTTTACAGGTGAATTTCCCTCATTTTCCCCAGTGTTGAACTTTTGCACGGATGTCCTAGGAGCTGAGCTGCTGTCCTGTTCTTGTGTCAGGTCAGGGAGACACATGTCAGCCCGCTTCCATGAGTGTTAGTATTTCTCTCAGCCATTGTACTCTTCACATGGGCTTTAGATTAAACTTTCTACAAGATCCAGTTACCTTTTTTGGAGCACACAAACTCTCTTTCTCTTTTCTTTTTAAAGCTGTGAAACTGCAGCTCCAGGAGGGTGATTCTGTAACTGAAATGGAAATGTTCATTGACTTTGGCATGGTCTGTGTCCTCATTTATTTTGATATGTAATTCATTTTGCATTGTCTCACAGCTCACATTTCAGTGTCCTCTATATGGTTCTGCTTTAGATTTCAGATTGCCGTTTATTAAGCTGTAGTAAGTGCTTTGAGGGGAAAAGGGCAAGAAACCTGTCTTAGAATCATGGAAGACACTCGTAGAATGGTTTGGGTCTTAAACATGTGTGTCTATACCTATACTTATGCACAGAAAACGGGCAAAAGTGTTTGGTTCTGTATCATTCATGCAAGTGCCACAGGGAAGAACAGCCATTTACTTAAGGTAAGAGACTCACTGGGCCATAACCCTTGTCTACAATGTTTTTAATAGCTGAGTTTTGCCATCTGATAGGGATTGGATAGCAGCAGGTTCTGTCCAGGTATACAACTGAGGAACCCATTTTGTGTAGGGAGCGTGGTGGAGACCTCCACATGGGCTATTGTAAACTTTACTTCCTGGATGCCTCACAGGCAGAGAAATCAAGTTCCATGTCATTTTAGTTGCCTTGTACCTACAGGTCCCAAGCTGCACAGCGCTTAGATATTTATAAATGGGCTATCCAGAGAAATAGAGACAGTTTTTCTACTACAGAAGTTCCAGGTTTTCTTTCCTGATATTTTGCTATTTACCTTGAGCTGTGTCGGTTTAAATGGCCAGCTGGCCAGATACATTTTGCATGTTGTGCATCTGGAAGTAGAACAATAAATGGATCTTTTGTGAAACTTTCTCTAAGAGCTGACATTTTCTGGTAGTATCCACTGGAGAAAAGAGGCACTGTTCAGTATGTTCCTTTTTTATCTCCTTTTCTATTTTAAGGAAGAAAGAGAAAATCCTGCAAAAAGAAGTAGGATTGAGCGGGATATCGATAACAACTTGATCACATCCACACCTCAAGCAGGAGAAAAGCCTAACAAACAGATCTCTCGAGTGCGACGGAAAAGTCAGATGAATGGAGGTTTGTGAACACTCTAATCCTGTGTTGCTGCCCTACTTGTACAGACAGCACAGAGACCTGTTACTGAGAAGTAAATAACTTCTCTTTATTCCAGGCTCAGAGCTGTGTCTTGGAGCTCAGCCCCGAGATGGCAGTTTCTAGTTCTAGGATGTACCTTGCTGTGCATGCACACTTATGGAAAACCTTCACTGTTATGTGTTGTTTTGTAATGTGAAGATTTATTTTATGCCCTTTGTTATCTGTGATAACAACTAAAAAGTATTTTACTTCGGAACTGTATTTGATGTGTGTTTGTGTGTGGGAACCGTTAATTATAGGGAAGCTTGGAGGTTCCAGGCACTGGAGTTCACTGACACTTTCTCTTGCCTCCATCTAGTGGAACCCCACTGATACTGTCAGCTGTGTGCTGGGAAGGGTGCACAGCAGCTTGAAGTGTCTTCCATTATCAAGCTCATTTAAAGGATTTAAACTTGTGCTGTTTGTTAATGTGTAGCATAATTTCTGTAAACAACAAGTGCTTCCTAAATTGTAGGGCTGAGACGGTGCTAAGTTTTTATCTCAAGACTGAGAGGCTGCTGCTTTGGTATTGCCCAAGTTGAACTGTGAACAAGAGGGATCTTTCCTATAATGAAAATGATACTGATTAAAGGGAGGACGTGTGAAAACCAGAAGCGTGGTATTGTACCTCATGAGTTTTCTTTTACAGAAGCTGGAAGTTATGAAATGACAAACCAACATGTAAAGCAAAATGGAAAACTAGAAGATAATCCTGCCACGGGCAGCCCCCCCCGAACCACGTTACTGGGAACCATATTTTCTCCTGTTTTCAATTTTTTTTCACCAGCAAATAAAAATGGTGAGTATTATCTGGCCAGCCGATCGTATTAAAGCTCAGAATGATAGGGGTTTTTAAGAGCAAGCTGTTTTGAGTGGCAGTACACTTAACGTGCTGGTTTACAGACCAGGAGTTACTACTACCTGATAAAGGGTTCCTTAAGTCTTTGAAGGGCTGATAATTAATAAAAGAAGCAATAAGTTTATATGCATTAGACTGTTTCTTTTACAGGTGTAAGTACCCAGTGGTGTATCTTTCATTTAAAAAAATGTAATAGTAATTGGTATTAAGTTCCTTGTCCCAAACATAGGAGGCCTTTTGGGTCTTATTTTTGTAACATGGGTCAGATGTGGCTATCTTCAATTATTCTGATCAGTAATATCAGCATTCTGATGGGTAACTCAGCCTCATAATGACTGTGAATGTACTGAAATCTTAATCCAGGAACATCAGGATCGGATTCTCCAGGACAAGCTGTTGAAGCTGAAGAGATAGTCAAACAGCTTGATATGGAACAGGTTGATGAGATTACCACAAGTACTGCAACATCAACCAACGGGGCAGCTTACACTAGCCAAGCAGTGCAGGTCAGGTCCACTGTCAACAATGGTTTGGAAGAGGTGGAGGAAACAAATGACCGGGACCTGCCACCACTTACAGGTAAGAAACCTGTGCTTGCCTTGCCCTCATGTGGGAGCTGTGTGTGATTGTGCTCTCAGGGAAACCCCAACACCTGCATTCTCTAGAAACTGATATTTCACATTTGCTTAGGGCGTGCAAACAGTAGGAACAGTGATTTTTACTCTAATAGACAAACCTGGTTTATGCACCAGAGACACGATTTTGCCAAAGCTTATCTCTTATTCCCAGTACAGCTCAGTAGGCTTCCTAACACTTCCTCAGATGGAAACAAAAGATTCCAGAATGCATACTGAAGCCTGCCACCCCATTAGAAATGCATATCCTGGCCTTGCTGCTCACAGAAGAGCAACTTGCAGCATTTTGATCTCTTATATTAGAGCCTCCAGGGAAGCGAAATCAACCTCTGCATAGAGGGGCTGGTGTGGGATACATGATTCCATCCAGACCTTGTGGTCTGGTCTGTTGCTGTGTTTCCAGAGGCTCCCTCAGCTGTGGGAGCTGCCGGTGGAAGAGCTGTGCTACCTCCTTAGGCTGGCACGTGTGAGCATCCAGCCACTATCAGAGGCTGTGTGGGGTCTCCCAGCTCAGCCAGGTCATGATGTTCTGTGGCATGAGAGGACACTGGGCTCTCAGGTGGCTTCCTTGGGAGCGGTGCAGGCCGTTTCTGAGGACACATGGGGACAGAGGGTGGGCTGCAGGGAGAGGTTTCCACTGCTGTGTGAGGCACTGGCGTACCAAGGGCAGACTGTCACTTCTGCAGACTGCACTAATAAGACCAGCTCTTGTGGTGTTTTGTTTTATTTTTTGGTTTGGTCATTTTCGTTGAATTTTAGCACCAGTATCTCCAGACAGTGGCTACTCATCAGCCCATGCAGAAGCTACGTATGAAGAAGACTGGGAAGTCTTTGATCCGTAAGTGCTAATGTTTGTACTGCAAATACTAAACTGGTGGGTTTGGGTGTTGGACTAAGGCATTCTTATTTAAGTTGGAAGATTTTTATATTATGGAAATGAATTCCAAAAGCTCTTAACTTAAAAAAATAAATGTAGATTGATGTGGTTTTTTTTCAATTTAAAATACTTCTTGTGCAGCCTTAAATATTTGAAATATTAAGTGGGGCTTCAACATCATGTAATGAATTTGAGATGCATATCTACAGCCAAATCTGTATTCTTTCCAGGTATTATTTCATCAAACATGTTCCACCACTAACAGAAGAACAACTGAACAGGAAGCCAGCTCTTCCACTGAAAACAAGAAGCACACCAGAATTCTCCTTAGTTCTAGACTTGGTAAGTGTCTTTATAAACACATTCCAAAAGCAGGGGCTCTGCAGCATTTCTGTCATTTTGCTTGTTGCTGAAATTAGAAGTGTTTGCTTTCAACAAAAAGGCTTTGTCAATGTTACACAATTTTCAGTTAAATATAGTTTGCATTGGGAAAAGATGATAGTGGCAAGAGCAGAAAGCTTGCTGTGCAAGCTGCGTGCTTAACATCCTGCCTGAAGAAAAGCATTACAACTCTTATTGTCTCAAACAAAGAGTTATCTGTCCCCATAAAGCTTTCCTAAATCCAGTGTGGGAAAACTGAGATGGAACAGCTGGGAAAATTCAGCTTCATGTCTTGCATAAAGATTGATCAAGAACAAATCTTCTAATTCTTACAACGTATTTATGCTCAGAGGTCACGAGTTGATTTTTCAGATATCCATAGAAAATATATTTGTCTTGATAATAATTTCTCTTTGTCTCCCTGTTCGAAAAGTTGTTTCAGAGCCTGTTAATGATGGCAGGAACATTAGTTTAGTTTATCATGCCCAGCATCACTTGGCGTGTCCTCCAGTGCCCGTATAAACAGATACATTATTCACAGTGATGGGTGCAGGTTTGACTGACAGGAGAGCCTACAAAATGAAGATATCTGCTTATAACTGTGCCCCCAGCTCACAGTTGTAAGTGATTTAAAAAACCCTGCAAGAGTAATGAATTCATTCGTTCTAAGAGTTCTTCAATCTTGACAGCACTTGCATAAAAATATTTTCCAGACTAAATAAACCTACCTTAAAATGAGCATAAAAATCCAGAAACTCACTTCTATTTTTAATATTCCTTTCACAATGTTTTCTTTCCTTTATGCCATCTTTTCTTGTTTTAATAGGATGAAACCTTAGTGCACTGTAGTCTAAATGAATTAGAAGATGCTGCACTCACTTTTCCAGTTCTTTTTCAAGATGTCATTTACCAGGTAATTACTGTGCATGGACAAATATGGAAGCTTTTATTTTGTTTAACATAGGAATTCTTGCTGTGTGTATTTGTTACCATCCTGTTGCAGGAGAGGTAAGAAACTGTCTAGCATTTAACAACTGTCTGATTCTAAATGTATGGGCTTTGGCAGATTGGGTTGTCCTGGGTTAGAGGTGCTGCAGGTGGAGGCAGGAACACCAACAGTTTAGCCATTCCCCAGGAGCAGCTCCTCACCAACTGTTAACATTCCTCCCTTGACAGGGAAAAGCAGTCCACATTGGCTGGGCGTTTCTCTCTGTAGAGAAGACATCTTCAGCACCTGACACTGAGTAGGTTCTGTCCAGTCATCAGGCTTGTTGCACACTTCACCCATGCCTTCGTTACTCCCCGGTAGTGTACCCAGTCTGCTGGGTATTAGTGTGATTGGACTGTCCTGTGGGGACTGCTAGGGTTCAGGTTTGTTCTGCCTCAGGAGATGGTTGCTGTGTGTGTCTTACATTGACCTGCCCTAGAGGAACAAGTGGGAAGAAGGAACTGTCTTCCAGCAACTACCAGAGATGCTGCACTGATCCAGGCTGTTGTTCTCAGGTCCTTTTGTGGGGTGTACGTGGGAGCAGCCACAGCTTCCCCACCATGTAGTTCACATGGTATTGGACCCCACTGTAGTATCTTTGAAGAATGAGGCAGTCATCAGGCACCTTAAAAGGACAATTGTCCAGGTATTTTTCCTGATTCTAAAAGTACTTTTCTTTGCTGTTGCATATAAACCCCTTTGGAATCTGGAATAACCTTTAAACATGGGTTTATCTTATCACTTTGTTGGTGATGGCCATGCACAGTTTCTTCCCAGGATGACCTTGAAAGGAGCCCTAGAAGTAGTTCTTTAGAGGCTCTTGACACTGCTAACAGCACCAGGAAGACTAAAGCTTCAGTTTTTAACTTCCTTCTCTTAGATCTCAGTATGATTCAAGTACTTTCTGTCTATAACTGGGTCTTTTAGTGACTGTGTGTTTATGCTTTTGCCTTTAGGAAATTGAAGTCAATGGAGAGAGTGACTTACAATATTTCTAAAGCTTTATTCAGTGGCATTGTACACAAGCCTATATAGATAGCCCTTGACACAGTACAGCTACTGTGTGGGTCCTGGAGTTTTCTCTTAGCTCTCTCTGGAGTCCAGCCTGGATTTGCTGAGGAACAGCAGCTTCTTGCAGGCCTGAGAAAGTGAGCTGCTATCTTCAAGCACACTCCCCTGGTCGCTGTTTGGTTTTTACTGCTTTTTCATCACACTAGACACTGACAAACATTCATCTCTTACTAGGTAACAGCTAATAAGCAAGATGAGTATCTTAAGGGTACAGTTAAGTTCATCTTTCACTAGGGTTTAATATGCAAAATCCAAATAATCTTCTGTGACGAAAGTTGGAAAGAAGTTTGTTATTTCATGCCCTTCTTAGCGGTTTTAGTCAGTGAATAGTTGTTTACCAGCTTATAAAACTTTCTCTTGCGTATTTCTTTTGCTTATCAGTCTGACCAGCACCTCTGGACCAGCCCTGTGCTGATTTCATATCTCTGCATTTCCTTTTGGCAGTAATTTCAGCTGGCAGCAGAGAAGCAGCCAACTGAGCTGTCCGAGCAAAGTAGAAGCCAGCAAGTTACTATATATAAAGGATTGTGTAATATATCCCACTGAAAAAATACAAGATGTGGAAGAGACGTTGCTGAAGATGTTTTCCATTAGTATTATGTACCACTCCCGTGTAGGTTTTCCAGAAATATTGGACAGTTCTCTATTCATTCTTTTTAAGAAAGAATAAACAGCACTTCTTTTCCTGCTGAATATCACATGAGGCCTGGTTAATACTGCAAATGGGAGCCTGGGTTCATAGCATTTCCATTTTCTTCCCTATCAGAAGGCATCAAGCCAATGCTCTTGCAGCAAGAGTATGGCAAACCAGGCCCTTTCCTGAAAAGATGTTCCAGACCTGGCCATCCCAGGGTACTGCAACAATAAGAACCAGGCTGACTCAGGTTCTAGAAGGTCTCTTATAAAATCCAGCTAAACTCCACTGGCCTGGGAGTCAAGCACAAGTTTGACGTCCAGGAACTTGGCTCTCTTGGTGCTTGTTTCAGTGACTGCAGGTGATGGTCTGGTTTTAAAGAAAGGTTTCTAAAAATACGGGTTTGTTTGCTCCAGGTGGTTTCTCACAACTTCCCTGGGGTTACGCAGAAGAACTGAGCGTGGAGCAGAGTTCTGCCAACTGAAAAATGGCATTACTGTGATTCCAGCACTGACACCCAGGGTTTAAACCTCGGGTTGAGTCACATAGCTGATTTCTATTAAAAAAGCTAGCGGTGAGTTGGGCTTGCTTAGGTCAGGCTTCTGAGGCAATGAATTTGTTCCTGTTTTCTGCATTGAAAAAAAAAGTCTCTAAATTAGGGCAGTTTTTAAGGTCTGGGCTTAGTAAAAATCCAGTCTTTGTGCAGCTGATTTTCTTAAGCACTGCTAAGTGCTGCCTTACATCTGACTGGAGAACAAAAACCAATGACAGTTCTTCAGCTGTAGACTTCAGACTTTGTACTCTTTGTTGTACTTTACATAAATGAGATAAGCAGCATATCTTCTGAAGCAATTAATCTCTTTTTCCTTGGTAAAGAGGTTTTGTTTCTGTTGCTGACTTCAAGTCCCAGGTACGAGATCGCCTCATCCCTTTGTTCTGCTCTGGAGCTGCCTTCCCGGCTCCCTGCCTGTAGTCAAAAGGCAGGTCCTTTCTGTTCTTCACTGGAAGGGCATCTTTACTGATCTACCTCAGAATAATTCCCTTTGACTTTTGTGATCCTTGAAAGATGTTCTGGAGCTCCATAGGTCAGTTGTAGTTACTGCATACAGGGTTACACATGTTCCATGTCACCTATAACTTAACTGCTTTACTTTGTTACTGCAGTGGAATGAAGCAAGCAATGCTTGGGAATTCTGGCTCTCCCTTTGAGTGACCCCCTCTCCGTTTCTGGGAAATAACAGAAGAGCCATAAAGCTTTGGATCTGGAGGCCAGGAAGCATTGGTGTGTCTTTGGCACATCCACCAAGAAATCTGGGCTTAGGTTGGGAAGACGCTCTCTACAGCTACCTCAAAGGGGGTTGTAGTGAGGTGGGGATTGGTCTCATGTTGATGTGGCACTTAGTGACATGCTTTAGTGGTGGATTTGGCCGCATTCACTCAGTGGTTGGACCTGAAGATCTTAAAGGTCTTTTCCAACCCAGTTGATTCTACAACTTCATTTTAGTTCAGTAGAGCCTCTAGAATTCCACTTCTGGCCCTTGAAGAGCCACAGCTGGCTGCGCTTCAGGCACTTCTGTCTGGTAATTCCAGGGATTTTGACACCAAGTGGAACATGTGTCTTGTTCAGGTTTTCTAACGCGGGAAAGGAATACTGTTTCCTCCCAGTTCCACCTTGGGAGAGCTCAAGTCCTGTGTATTTTGAACAAGGAAGACATTGACAGTTCAGGTTTTGCACATTTAGATTTTGTTGCCGTTGAAACAATGGGATGAGTTGATTGTTTGGGGGGAAGAAAAATAACCTTGAAAACCTGCTACAGGGCTGTGAGGGGTCTTCGCATACACGTTGTGCATTTGTGAGTGACTTTGAAGCAGGTGACGGCATGTGTTGCTGTTGACAAACTTTCAGCCTTTAAAACCACTGGAAATTACTGTTAGGCTTCTATTTTCAAAAGTGATCTCTCACATTTACTCATGGCAGGGAGGGATGTGTTTTGTTCTGCTTTGGTTGCTTGATTCTTGTGCTTGGGTCAGAGTTCTGTGCCAGGTTGGTGCAGCTGGGGGTAGTGATGCCGTTGCCTTACGCTGTGCCAGTGCCACAAGCCAGAGAAACCAGAGCAGTGAGCCTGCACCGGGGGCACTGTTAAATGAAGTGTGTGTCTGGGCAAGCGGCAATGAGAAATACAGGTTCTGACAGGAAAGTGGGTTTCCTGGGTTTCTCGTTTGCATTCACATGTCGCCTTCTTAGAGAGAGATTGATACTGCGATAGAGAGAGGTTGTGTTGAGATAGATGCCCATTTATAACCGCTTGGCAGTAATCTCAACTAGAACATCTTACAGCGATGCTGCGGTTATCCCAGGACTAAAAAACCAAACTAAAAACCAAGGCAGGAGCAGTGTCCACCCCTGAGGAGCCCGACAGCCGTAACTGATCTCTGATCTAACGCCTGTGTAACTGGCTGCTGTGACTGATACAATTCCATCCAGCTGTAAAAGGAACAATAAATTACCCAGAAAATGGGTTTATTTACATCAGCAGCAGTTGAAGTACTGGCAGATCGCTCAGCTGCCCTCTTTGGTTGCCAGGAGAGTTTGTAGGAGGGATGCTGAAGAGGCTGTTCCTGAGGTGACATCTGTGTTTCTTCCATAATGGGGGGTAAGCTTTTTAGTTTGAAATCAAGCCCTTGAAGACGATCTCCAAACCAAATACCATCCTCTCTACCTACTACCATTAGCGGCTGTTACCTGTGTGCGGGGAAAGCATTAATACCCTTTTTGTGCTGGCACACATCAGCTGGAAGCTGCTCTGGTGCTGCCCGGCTGGTGAAGCTCGTTCAGGATGCCTGCTCAAAGCAGCCAGTTTCATTCTGGCTTGTTGTCCAACTTTTAGATTGTAGCTGAAGTTATTTCTAATTCCACCAAATGTTCCAGTGAATTTGTTAAGCCTGATTTTATCATCTGATGCTTTCACTTAGAGCTGCCTGGGCTGCGAGCTAATGCAGTATTGGTTTAGTTCAGTTAGTACTCTGCAGGAAGTCAGTATTTGCTGTTTACCTTGTTCATAATGCTCATTGTGACCTTGTCTTTACAAACTGGAACTTAGTGCAGGTGATAGCTGAGGTGTTGAATCTTCATTAAAGTCTATTTCTGCTGCAGGTGTATGTCCGATTAAGGCCATTCTTCCGAGAATTCCTGGAACGTATGTCTCAGATTTATGAGGTAAAACCCACCAGATGCTGCCTCTGAATTTCACTGTCAAATTATAGTCACGTCCTTATACCCAAAATGATTGCTTTTCCCTCTTGAATCCACAGATCATTCTTTTTACCGCTTCTAAGAAGGTGTACGCAGACAAGTTATTGAACATACTAGACCCTAAAAAGCAACTGGTCAGGTAAACCCAGAAAACTGAATGTACCTGGTGTTTGTAAGCAAACTAAGTGCTGTTTCGCATCCAGTGTGCTGAAGCATGTGCTGATGGCGTGTGTCTTACTGAACTGGGTCTCTGTGGATTTGTCTGGTCTAGGAGTGAGAGAAAAATGAAGTGATTGAGCTATTGCCCTGAGGGTAGAATGAATCCAGGCAGCTTCACACTGCCCTCTGGGGCCAAACCCCATAGCCATTTATTTGGTCTGAACTACTCAAACTCGAGTGATTGCTTGTAAGTTGTGAATTGTATAGTTATCCTTACAGTCAGCATGGTTTTCTTTCTCACTCACAAAGTAATTTGTTTGTGGGTTTTCTATTGGAGCTGGTTTAGTTTTTCATTTCCTAATAGCGAGTGTGCTTGGCAGTGATTGGCATTTTGCAAGAACAGCTCCTTAGGGCGGAAAGATGTTCTGCTGGATGAGATTCTTCCTGTTATTGCTATCTAGGAGGGGGGATGTTACATGGGGAAGCTGAGTCCAAAGAGGATTCCTCTCAGGGATTCACCTGCACGGGGTAACCCCAGTAAGGGCATAAACTGGACAGAGCCAGGCCTGTGTAAATGCTGCCCTTGGTATGTCACTGCAGCATCTTATTGTAATAGTTGTCAGGAAAGACTTGATTTTAATTACACACATAATAAACTAACCATTTGGACAGAGGTGGTGGCTGCATCCATTGGTTTTGCTGAGTAGTTTGGGCACACGGTAACTCATTTTCTGGATGAGTGTGAAGATAAACTGTTTGCTGGTTTTCATCCAGGAACAGTCATCTCACTGCTTGTTTTTGCACGGCGTGCACAGCACAATCCTGCTTTGGCTTTGGTAGCCTGACTGCCGCTGCCTTTTGAGCAGGCAGCTAAAACTGGGCTTTCAGATACTTCCAGTCCTGGGAGTGTCTGAGCTTACCCGCATCACGCGGCCAGAGGGGATGCGCGTTAAGGAAGGTTGCGTGTCCAAGTGTGCATCCCTAGTGTTAAAAATCTTCCTCCAAGAGCCTAATATGTGTGATTCAGGACTGGGTTTAGAGCAGGAGAATGGTAATAAAATACACAGCCAGAGAGTCTTCTGAGAACGGCGGAAAGACTCACGTGATGCATGAATTTAGCTGTGATTCATGTGCCACCGAAAAGCTGACATGGAGGCATGATTCCCTTTGGCATCAGCCTCAAGGTGGACTTGTCAGCGCTCCACACATGTGACTCAGAATCTATATTTAAATTCATTCGCTGCCGAGGCATCAGCTTATTTTCCTCCATAGCAACATTAGGAGCTCAACCCCTCTCTGAAACTGAGCACACTGTGTGCAGCTTCTAAAAGCTTCACTTAAAAATGCAAGGAGCCTTAAAGACACTGAAGTAACCCTGCGAGAGCCCACATCTGTCTGGTTTACAATTTGTTTCTAAGTTACAGTGATATTCCATGAAACGTGAGTGTTATTCCTGGTATGTTTTAAAACTGGGTCCTTGTAGTCTCGCCATCCATTTCTTGTGTAATAAGTGAAAAGGGAGTAGGCTAATGGGAAAGGAAGCACTCACTGGAATGTTTTGGCCTTGAGGCTTTTTTCACATTCTAATAACTGAAATAGGTTAATTGCAAACAGAGGTAGGTAACATAGACACCCCTGGTACGTGGTGTTCTGGCACGTGGTGGTGTGGGGAGGCCACAGGTTGTGACAGCAAAAGGAAGGGACAGTAAAAGCCAATAAGTTGGCTCCTGTGCAGGATGAATCTCTGCTCTTTGGGCCTTGCAAAAGCGTTTGAGTGTCCTGGGTCCCTGTGTTGATCCATCACTAGAGGCTGGAAGGCAGGCTCTGCTCACAGATACTGCTTGTATCTGAGTGGAGCTTTTCTGGGTAAATACAAAGAGCTGCCCGCAGAAGGAGGCTGATGTAAAATCACCTTCAGTGGTCATTTTACTGGGAAAAAAGCTCCAAAGAGAATGGGAAAAAGGGAACAGTTTTTTTCAAAGGAGCTGGTGGATGGGAGGAGGAGAAAACTGGCTAACGTCTGGCAGAGACAGCTCTTCCCCATGCCGTGCAAGTTGGTCTCATTCGTTAGTGTTCTGCTTTACTTGCAGGCATCGACTCTTCCGCGAGCATTGTGTTTGTGTACAAGGAAACTACATCAAGGATTTAAACATTCTTGGTAGAGACCTTTCAAAAACCATCATCATTGACAATTCACCGCAAGCCTTTGCTTACCAGGTGAGGATGGTGCTGCCGGGGGAGAGGTGAACCGCTGCAGCCTGATTTAACAGCTTCCCCATGGCTTGTGAGCCAAACCCTAGCAAAGCAGCCAGGTTTGCTTGCCTTTCTCTTACATTTAGTGAAGAGCTGATTGAGTGCAAACTGTGTGACTCCTGATGAACCACGTAACCCGTCACGTTTGCTTCTCACTTAGCTTTTTGGCAGAAGCCAGCAGGCTGCCAAGTCTGGTGCTTGGTCTCTAGCGTGGAGTTCATTTCTTAATGCTAGTGAAGGGATTAGGATCAGATCTCTGGCTGAGGTGACCGCAGCTGTGAAAATGGCTCACGCTGAGGTGCTATGGGGTTACACACTGTGTGGGGGACGTTCCTGTCACACTGGGGACGGCATGCAGAGAGGGATCCCCAACGTCTCACCTCCATCAAAGCAGCAGCAGAACAAAGAGCTCTTTGGCTCAGCCTCACTTGCACGCACACAGACAGCATCCACCAGTGCTTTAGTGTAAGAGTGCCTCAGAACAGCAGCACCTTTCCGACCTGCAGAGCTTCGAGGGCTAGTTCTGTTTCAGCTTTGAGGTGGAAATCTGTGTAGTGAGGTATGCAAAGGAAGCAGGCATTTTGGAAGTGAAGTTCAATGCAAACTTCAGAGGGAAAATACGTATTAATAAACTTCAGCTTGAAACATTTTTCCTCAAAGTGCTATTTCACAAGTTACATTTTTAGACGAATTAAGTATAAACCGTGTGCTGATGGTTTTATTCTCTCTTTACGTTAGCTTTCGAATGGAATTCCTATAGAAAGCTGGTTCATGGATAAAAATGACAATGAACTCCTAAAATTGATTCCATTTCTGGAGAAACTTGTAGAGCTGGTAAGTGTTTCCTCGAGGTGGCTCTTCCCCACCCACTGCCCAAACCTTAGTTACCTCTTTTAGGTATTTTTATGGGCTAGAGCAGCTTGCTCCAAGCCCCTGTGTCCAACCTGGCCTTGAGCACTGCCAGGGATGGGGCAGCCACAGCTTCTCTGGGCACCCTGTGCCAGCGCCTCAGCACCCTCCCAGGGAAGAGCTTCTGCCTAAGAGCTCAGCTCAGTCTCCCCTCGGGCAGGTTAAAGCCATTCCCCTTGGCCTGGCCCTGCAGGCCCTTGGCCAAAGCCCCTCTCCAGGTTTCATGTTGGCCCCTTTAGGCAGTGGGAGACTGCTTATGTTTTGTTGTATTAAAATGCCAGTGGTAGAAAGCTGACCTTGTTGAAGTAATGGGGTTTATAGGCGTGTCTGTCCTGAAACCCGCACCTTTGTTTTCTCTCTCCCCTCCCTGCAGAATGAAGATGTCCGACCTCACATCAGAGACAGATTTCGCTTGCATGACTTGCTACCCCCCGATTAAAGCCTTTTGCCTCATTACTGAAGGGGGAGAAAATGCAGGACCCTTTTGGACTAAAACAAAACATTGCCATTACTGTTGAAATTTTGCATTTTTGTACCCCGTCTTGCTTTTCTTATCTTTGGTGCCCAACAATAATCAAGGGTTACAGGAAGAGACTTTCTATGGCTGAGGTTGAACACGTTCAGTACTCCACCGTACAAGCCCGTGGGTAGGCTAGAACAGAAGAGTCTTTAGAACTAGTGCAACTCCAACACGTTTTTGTATGTCCAGGACATCTGCGGTTTATAAAGAATTCTGTTTCTGCCACCAGCAGTTTGACCTGTAGAAACACAGGATTTTATGATACAACAGAGATTGAAAATGGACTCGTGTTTTCTCTCTGTTCGGTGCTCTAAGTGGGTTTGTAGCCACTTTTCTGTTACTTTTAAGATTCTCATTTCAACAGGAATGGCCAGTAAAAAGTTGTTTTATTTTTCCTGTTAAGGTTTATAACCTTTTTACATTTTTGACCTGTATTAGATTAGAATTTCATTATGCATTCCTTTTAGTTGAGGCGCTTCATAGTTTTTCTGGAAATAGCCAAATTTTCCTAGTTTTTTATTAAACAGTTGATGGCCGTTTTCCTGCTTTGTCTGCCTGCATACTGTATATTTGTTTAAAATACTCTCTAGTTTTAGCCCACGTAAGTTTCATTTAGAAAGAGGAAAAAAACCCACCCTGCATTTATCTTTTCCTTTCTGTAATACTCTACTGTAGTTGGAATCTTTTCAGCAAATCAAGAGACTGGCTAGATAAGAAGATGTAAGAGTTCCTAATATTCAGACTGTTTTAAAGCGTTGGCGGCCCGTGCGCTGGACAGACAGTATCTCGCGGTGGCACAGACGGACAAGGAATACCTCAGACGATGCCGTGGGTGCAGGTCTGGAGAGGAGCAGCGGCGCGGGGCCGGGCGGCTGGGTCGCTGCTGCCTCCCCCGGGGCTGCCGTGCTGGGCTCTTGCCGGTGTGCGTGGTGGTGCCGGTGCCACGCGGCAGGTGCGGAGCTGTGCGCGCGCCGGGGGTACCCCCGCTCCGCAGCCCCTCGCTGCCGCCGTGGGCCCGGGAAGGGGCCGGCAGCCTCGGCGCCGGGGGTTCCAGTGGTGAGTCCATGTCCTCCGCAGGAGGCTTTTCAGAGAGGGTTTAGGTTGCAGACGTCGGACGCCTCCGCCCGCATGACCGCGGCCCAGGCGCGGACTGGTTTTGTGTAAGAGATGTCACAGAACGGCACTTTTTCTAAAGAGAAGTTTGATATTTTGTATGCTTGTTCAGAAAGTACAGTATTGGAGATTAAAGGTGGACAACTGCTAATGGAGAAGTATGTCAATTAATTTTTTATGTATATTACCTGTTTACTTGTACAATTTTATTGTACAAATTACATGCAGCTTCATTTTCAAATGAGTCCTTAAAATAAGGAAAATCTTTTTAGGAAAACATTTAATTTTTGTATTTTTGATTTTAAAAGGCATGAATTATGTCAACTTTTTCCAGTGTATTAATGAAGATTTTAACTTTTCATCAGGTTGAGTGTTTTCTTACTATATTCTCTGTTGTGTATGTAGCTAGCACATTGTGTCACTGAACTGTTTAAAGAACTTAGCATGTAGAGCAAGCCTGTTTTGTGGAAAATCCTTCTTCATTAAAAAGCAAACCATCATGGCAGATTTTCTGCAAAAGAAGTGAAAACATTTGCAATTCAGAATACTGATTTTTTTTGTATTTAAAGAAAGGTATTTTGCTTGCAGGAAAGAAATACTATGGATTCATTTTAATGAGAATCTTTTAAATGTATTTATCTCTAGGGCATCTGGGCATCTTTACGCTGTTTGTCTTATGTCTTTATTGAAATAAACTGTACATAACATGACCTTTATATCTGCTTCTGCACAGACGCGTGCTCCTGCACCCCCCACACCCCCCCCCCCCCGGGTTTGTGGCCATGAGATGGTTCTCAGGTGTCTCTGGGTTCTAAGAGCGGTCGGGGTTTGGATTGCTCCATGCTTTGCCAACTCTTTCTTTGGTTGTTCCTTACAATGTGAACCTAAACCTGGGATTTTTAACTCCTTTAACAGTGAATCCCTGCTTGCTGTGGAATTCTGCCAGCTGCCTCCCGAGTCATTGCCGTGACAGAGCTGCTTTAAGATGCACTGCTCAGCCAGAGTGAAACGGGTTTTGTGGAGCAGCTCGTGGCTCTTCTCTGCCGGTAAAGAGACCATCGTCTGTTCAGAGCATGTCCCTGGGCACGGGGCTCCTCTCTTTGCCTGACCCCATTCTAGAAGTGCTTTCTTTAGTTGAGGAAACCAAAGCACACGTTGCACTTTACAGCTGTGTCTGTGTGGGGAAACGCAAGCAGAGGGTTTAGTTCTGTATCGCTGCAGAGCAGGAGTAACAGAGACTGCTGAATAAACATAGGAAGTAGTGATATTGTAATGTGCTGCAAGTTGGTATTTATCACCCTGAGCTTCCTTTGCAGAATGAGTCCTCCTCCCCCCAGATGTAAGTTCCTGAACACGTCAGACACCTTGGTGTGAAGGCTGTTTGCACGCAGCAAAGGTACAATAACCCTTCAGGTTCTAGTTTCACCTGGTTAGCCTTGAGGGGAAGCTCAGCTCTGCCTCTGCCCTGGGTCTGGATGGACTGTGTGAGCCAGAGGTGACACGGGTGCTGGGGAGGCTCCACTCCATGCACTGCTCGAGTCTTGCAAGCAGACTGCATGCATGCATGCAGCAGTCCTGCAGCTCTGTCATTGATTCCAACCCTGTGTAATCTTAGAAAACACAACATCCTATTTCCAAAGGTTGTCTCGTTTTGTGGTCTTTTCCTTGAGCCTGGCAATCGTGTGTTCCTTTTGCATGTCCATGTGTACCCTGTTGGAGGTCAGAGCATTCTCCGTTCTGACAGCAAAGTAATGTCTTTCATGCTTATTTTGGCAATACATGGTCAGCGTGTTTGGGGTTTTTTAAGTTGCTCTATAGCTAGAACAGTGTGCACCTCGGTGTTCCTAGCTTCCTTTCCACCACTGATTCATTTCACCTTCCATCTGGGTAGGAAAATGTGTCATTACTTTTGGAATGTATCTGAAAGGCTGCAACGTGTCAAGACCTGATTAAAAGTCTCCCAAATGAGTGCTGTGGACCACGGGCACACTGAGGAGGGAGACTGCCTTCAAACAAAGCCCTTGAGCAGCCACAGCTGGGGTGCAGGAGGAGGATGAGGCAAGCCTGGGGCTGCTCCTGCTGAGAGAAGCCAGCATCCTTCCATGGCACATCGTCCCCTCCCTGTGTGCAGCTCTTCCCAATGGATGCCCAAGTGTGAGACCAGGAAGTTGTGGGTGAGAGGCCGAGTGGGTGCCTCCGGCAGGACCTTTAGCAGCAGAGTTGCTTGTTCAGTAAAGAGACCTGTCCAGAAACACAAACCCATTGTGACTTTACCAGGTAAATACCCAGATTCCTTTCTTTTTCCTCCTGGCTCTGCCCTCCTCACAGCGCTGCGTGGCCAGTCGTAGCCTTTTTTCTTTGCCTGAACAAACTTGAGTCAATCAGCGTGTTGAAGTAGATGATGGGATTTGGAGCTTGGCAGTTTCTACAGGACCCAAGGCAAGCCCCAGCCCGCACCAGCCCTGTGCCCCTTGGGACTGTTCCTCTTCCATGTGAGGATGGGATTAGTGCTGAGACGGCCCAAGTATGGGGAATGAGAAAAGAGAACTGTGCCTTCATCCCCCACTCGCTGCAGCGCTCCTTGGAGGATGTGGAGAGGAGACCTTTGCAAAGCTTGGATTTCCACGTGAAATGAATGCCTGCGTGGTGCAGATGGATGAACTGGAACCTAACCGCAGTCAAAGCCTCAGAGCAAACATTCACATCCTGCTGCTGGTTTGAAAACCAACAGTACCTACTGTGGGAAACCAGCTCGGAGAGGGGAATCTGTGCCAGCAGGTGCCACGGGACACAAGTCACTCCTCTGTTAATGTCTGCCACTGTATGGAGAGCATTGGGTTTCACAAGCAGTATTTTTCTGGTGAAGGGACTTCCTTGGATGTGTGTGGCAGGATGACAGACGGCACCTTTGATCCGCAGTCAGGCCGCTTCCGTATTTCATGCCATGAAACTCCTTATCAAAGACCAACACCTGCAAAACTGGAGCAACCACAGTCACACAGGCAGGGAGGTGAATGGCTTTGGGTTTAGAAGTGCGTCTTCCTGGCAGAAGGAATCCCTTGTGTGTCTCTTCAGACCAAGAGACTGCTTTGAGGACTGGAGTTAAAAGGGACTGTGTGTTTTAAAATGCAGAAGCATTCCTGGGCTGGCTGAATGCAGGGAGGTTTTCTCTCTCCTGCCTTCCTCCCCCTCCCTGGGTCACATTTGTTACCTGCTTTCCACCCAGCTGAGAGCTACCCATGATGGGAGAAAGAAGAGACAGCGAGATGGTGGCAGGGAGGCTGCAGGGCTCCGGTCAGTTATGGGTGCTGCCGATGGAACCTGAGTGAAGCTCAGGGGTGCCACAGGGCTCATAGCAAAGACTTGGTGGCAGCAAACCCACGCCTCGGGTTCTTCACGCCGGGGTCCTGAGCAGCTGATGAGACGCAGCAGGGATGCAGCACTTCATCGCTCGTAGTCACTCTGTAAAGGCAAAGGTAACTTTCAACCCCCTCCCCAGCATCACAGGCAGTGGCTGTGGTTGGAAGCGAGCGCAGCTGCGGCGCTGTGTGACCTGGCGCTGCCTGGGTTGTCTTGCCCATGTAATAACTCTTTTCCTTTCTTCTGTTTGATGCTTGCAAAAGTGCCATTGCAGCGATGGGCTGCATGGTGTCAAATACAGCTGGGAGAGAACTCGTGTTCTGTGAGGTTGTGCTGCTGCTGCTGCCGTCGTTTCTAGCACAGGTTCATAAAGGTCTCTATGGAAGAGTTGGGCTCTGGCTCCTGGATTTACGGTTTGTAGCTGATCCTCCACTGCACACTCTTGTTCTCTGCAAAGACTCCTCCATGTCTGCTTTCAGCCTTTGAAAGGGAAGGAGAAGAGGGCTCTCTGTGTGCGTGTGTGTTTTAAAAGCTAAGGATACTGGAGGCCCAACGAGAGAAAAGCAGATGTGCTTTGTAATCGGTACAGCGCATCCTCCCGAGCTGTTCTGCTCCAGGCCTCCTTTTCCACGTGCTCTGTGGGCATCTGTAAAACAACCACAAGGCCCCATTGATCTCCTCTGTATCAGTTTCTCCTCCTAAGCAGAGATGTTGAGACCGGGCCGTTCGCTGCCCTCCGGGGCTGTTCCCCTCCCTCCACGCTGGGCTCGAGCAGGGCTTTTGGCCTTTGTGCCTTCATTTCCCCACCAGTGCAACGGGAGCAAATTCCTCACTCCTTGAACTGACTTCAGGCGCGCTGCGTGAATCCAGGGCCCGGCTTTCACCGTGTTCCGCTTCCCTCACGGCGGCGAGGATGCCGCGGGGGTGTTCGGGCTCTGGTTACCGGAGCCGCAGCTCCGTGCCTGCTGTTGTGGTACCTGGCAAGCGGCTAAACCCGAGCGGGGATCAGCCTGGAAGCTTCTCTTCCTCCCTGCCTCGCACGCGAAACCCTTCCCCGCAGCGCACGGA